ATCCCTGAAAACTGGGTGAAAATGAGGTGAATAATATCACATTTGCCTTGTTTTCCTGCTTCAACAAACAAAGTGCTCTCCCATTTATTTTACTTGCTCATAAACTCAGAGAAAAATAATGCTCTTCTCTACTGAGGTTGACTTCTTCATTTTGGCAAACATGGTAATTGAGGGTTTGTGATCCTCTAAATTTTTTTTTTTTACTGAAGACCAAAAGAAATACAGCTTTTTCATGTACTATTACTTTACAGGAGAATGTTTTACTAGAAAATGCAAACAGAAATGGAATTTGGTGGCACAAAAGGGAAGGGGAGAAAAACATTCACACACAAAGCGTTTTGCTTCCCAGTTTCAACTGCTCTAGTAAAGTACTAAGTCACTAAGTGCAGAAAGAATAATGGTAAGGAAATATTATAATTAATTTATTAAAAAAAACCCACAACATCTGCTGTGTTCTCATTCAGGAATCTTTCACTCTCATTACATGAGAGCTACGATGTTATTCTACTGCCTAATCAGGTTAACTTAATATGGTTTTTACAAAGTGATCTTCATGATCATGCAGCACAGCCTTCTTCCCCTCTTTCATCACAATATTAAACAATCCTTCATCTCCTCTTTTTTCTTGTATGAAATTACATAATTTCCCTCTTCCAAATAGAACTTGGTACTGTTTGTTATTTTAAAAAAACATGCTGTATTTCCATTGAGCATGCTTCCAGTTTTTGGAAAGCAATCTACAAACATCTTCTCAATTAGTACTTTTGTGAGAGATCTTCAGATCCTTGAGCAAAATGCAAGTTGTAAGCTTACAACTCCATCAGCAAGGAAAGATTCAACTGGCATAAAACCAAAATAAATAGAAATACTGATTGACATTCTCATTCTGCCAAGGTCTGTGCTAAACTCAGGAAAGAAAAAACATTTTGTACTTGAGATGCTGATGTCCCCAGGAATTTCTTCCAACAAAAGCCAAAACATGAGGCAAAATGCAGAAATTCCATCTAAAGAAACATTTTTAAAAAGCACACGGCCTTGGTTAGAAAGCTAACCTTTATTGGAATGTACTGCATTTTGCTGGTTTGCATCAACACTTGCACACAGAAAATGAAATGTTACAGATTGAGGCAAATGCAAATGTTATGGCCATTTGCCAGAATTTATGCAGTTATTCTGACATGGTTAAAAAAAACCCAGAGAAGTTTCTTTGAAAAGGACTTCTATCACACCCATGTGGATTGCTGCCTTTTTTTTAGTTTCACAACAATCTTGTCAAGTAGATAATATTCTCCTGGATTGATAGACAAAGAATTATGGAGATCAGCAATCAGAAGCTCCCCATATTAAATTATCAGGTTTTCAAAAGTGTACAGCTCCCATCAGAGCTCTTACAACAGTCAGTATGAATTTCAAAAGTGTTCAGTAATGGGGAGGAATTTTCAAACTTCTCTGGGTAATTTAGATGCATTAATCTCATCGAAAGTTAATGAGCCATGTGTTGCTGGGGCTTTTGGTTGCTTGCAGAAAACACACATTATGACTGGTATCCATGGTGAAAGTTGTAGGCATTTAAAAAAACTGATCTTATGCTATTTAGGTTAATTCTACTCTCAGCTACAGATGCATAACTTCTCCTTATGGTATATTTATCTGTCCAATGAAGCAACAGCTCCCCTTGCTCTGCTCCTTTGAAAGTCTGTCAACACAGAGCATCTGAATGCAGCTGTGTAAAGAGCTGCACATCCTGGCCTCTAGCCCCTAGGACAGGCTGAATCCTCCATGCAGCTAAGCTTTGTGAAGCCTGCTACTGACAATTTCTGCTGCATCTTGTATGGAAAGGAACAATCCACATGGCCAAGAAAGTTCTTGAATAACCACAGTCACCGCACTAGGATGTTACTCTGGTACCTAACTGTAAACATACAAGCAGCAAGACTGTTAAGTGTTTCCCTAGTTACCTACATATCCCATCATTCTGGAAAATTTGCACAGAATATTTTCATATTTACCACAGCCTCTCTGAAATAATTTATAAAAGATTAATAAGGAAATGCTGCTTCAGCAGTAATTAAGCAAAAGTTAAATAGACTACTGGCCAAGAAAGTGAGCAAGCCAGACTCATGATTTACAATGCCCGTGTGACACTTAGTGTGCCCTTAGCACTGAAAAACACATTAGGGTGTCAGGAGAGAAACATTCAGCTCTGCTGCCCATTAAATCTGATCTTAGAGTAACTGATTCAGTGAGAATTATCTTCCAAGAGCATTATATTAAGACTAGAGAAGAGAAAGATACCTCTTTATGTATGTTATGAATGTAGGAAATGCAAGTTGAGAAGCAAAACAAAGCTGCAATTAAAGCCCACAACAGGTATTCCTTTCTTAAGGCTGAAAGGAATGTGAGGTTTGCTTTCATATGAATTGCTGACTTCATGCAGGTTCAGGACGACAGAGGGTTTACCAGGAGCCAGTGGCAATAAGCGTTCATAGCCTAAAGGAAAGGAAAAGAGGTTCACCCCTCATGGCAAAGGTCAGATTTCTGCAGACTTATAGCCTGTCCATATACGTGAGTGTTCGTGGGACATCTTTGTCTAGTAAGGTCCCATGAGGATGATCCAGGCTCCACAATGTCCCCTCTGCCTGGAGGATGGCCCTATAACCACCCAGATCAGTTTAGGGTCATTTGACTTGTGTCGATCTGGTTCCTGTTGCTTTTACTCTTAACCTGATGAACAATCATTGGAATCTCTGTGAGGATGTTGCTGAAGGCTGGAATTAAACAGCTCTAGTATACCAACAGATTGGATGTGTAAACATGGTATTTAACATTTGCTATTTTCACGGATGTGGAGAGCTATCAAATATACTCCCTTCCTAACATACAACATGCTGTACACTTCATTTATATTTGCTTCTCAGCATCATTATGTAAATGTCATATGAACTTCTATGCTAATGATTATATTAGTATTTGTCTATTTATTCTGTAGATACCTTTTCAGAGAGTCATCATGTCCTTTGTTCAGTTTTGGAACTGATGCATTGCATGCCCAAATATTTGGAATAACATATAGAAAACATCTGGATTTAATTATATTATAGTCCTCTTATGCAGACAATGGGAATTGAATTAAGGAATATTTTGAAACCCCCACAGAGATATAAAAGTATTAGCAGCTGCACGAGAACTTCACTGTTACAATGTTTGAAAATGTTTTGTTTTACAGATCAACAGTCTGACACATCATAAATATAAATCATAACATTTAAGATATATAAATATGGAAGAAAAATTAAAACTTGCTTTTCAAAAACGTGTAGATGAATTCACAGCACCTAGAAGATGTAGTGCATCTTTTTGTTTCAAAAATGAAAATGTATATTCTGTTGGCACAGAAAATGTATGTTGTGTGGTGGTATTAAGCTGAGAACCACATAAAGGCTTATTGTGACTGAATAGCCTGAACAAGATTTTATAGAATCCTGTTATATTGCCACCATATTGTACAAAAAGTAATTCAGCAAGAATAAATTAGCATTTTGCTTTTCATACTTTCATTCCTTTGAAAACATCTGGGGATATAATATCAGCTTAGATGGTCTGCCTCAAAGTATTAGATACAGGCTGGATATGCTTTCTGAATGTATGCTGGTTCCAAATGCCACTTCTTTTCAAGTCAGTACCAGTTTTGCAGTTAGTTTTCAATCTCCCAGTGGCTAAATCACATTCAAAGGCTGTTAGCACAGTAGGGGGTCAGACTTTCTCTCTGAATGTAACTATATCACTCAACAGCAGACTCATGCAATAAGCGATCTAATGTTTTCTTTTCTTTTTTTCCCCCCTCCTCTTAGTGTCTCCCTGCATTCCTGGATACCGGTCACTGCACCAAGGACCTGAGGCAACAGCCACATGGACTCCACCACCATCGTTCTAGCTTTCTTTATGGTGCAGAAAAAGTCAAGTCTATGGTCCACCTGCTGTCAAGACAAAAGGTTCAGTTGCTAAATCCTCAGAAACATTCTGAAACATTCAAATGAACCTTTCTTGTTCAATATTACACATTCCTATGTGTAAAAAGAACACCAAAATGTGTGTATGCATGTGTATGCACTTACGCATACAAACTTTGACAACCAATCACACAAAATATATTAATTTGTTTTCTCCTCTTTCCATGAAATCCCATCAAAATGTCCTGAAAAACATTGTCTAAAGCCATTGTACCTACCACGCAAAAGAGACAGAGCTATTAAACCCAGAAGTAATATTGAGACAATAAAAATAATGCCATGAAAGATTTGTGAAAAGATGGTCTGTTTAGAAACTAAATTTATCAGGGCTGAAGCTGGCACTAGCTGTTAGCTTTGGGAAACACCAATTCTTGATACCATGTGGTCAGTCTGACCTCATGTAGATGCAGTCAGGATCTTTGAACTTACCTATAGTATCATCCTGAACAGGCTTTGTGGATGATGCTGATGGACAGTCTGGTAAAAATAAAGGGTGGGAGAACTGCTGGGCAAGGGGCTCGAATACACTCTGCTAACTCACCCGTTTTACGAAGTGGAAAATCATCCTTGGCATCCTGCGCTCCTGGTAAAGTGTATTTGTATGGTGGTGAGGCCCCGCTCAGGGGTGGAGAGCTTTGATCCAGTGAGGTATGGTGGGCAGCCCTGTTGCAGACACAGAGAGGTCACAAATTAGCAGTCACTGAGGTGACCAGCAGTAACTATCTACACATGTCGTACACATGTCTCAGCTGTGTTTATGTTCTTGTTCCTCTAAGTGTGCACAAACCACAGGCTCATGTAACCAATTTCACTTTTACAGTAAGTTATGGAACTCCTTAGGATTCCCAAGAACGTACTTTTTGCACTCATTATAAAAGTCACATAGGATAAGAGTCATGTTGACCTACAGACAGGATCTGTCACCAGTTTGGGGAATTGACCATTTTAGATTGTTGCATTTTAATATGAACCAGCTGAGGCACAGGAAAAGCCATTTAATTCTGGTTTTTTATATATACAAATAGATGTAGATTGATCCAGCCTCTTCTATCAAAATGTGAGGGATTTTCAGGTCAAGGGAGCTTGTATAAAGCTCACCAAAAAAACTGAGTTGTTATTATCTGTTGAAGATTAAAAAAAAAAAAGGCAAACTATGTAGCGGACAAAGGCTGTATATAAGTTCACTTGATAAGTTTTGTGAGCACACCACTCTGTAGCACACAGCACTCACGTCAGCAGAGAAGCTCCAAGCTGAAGAGTGCTTTCTGACAACTGCTGGATTAAAGAAACTGTGTGGGCAGATCCTTCTGAAAACAGAAACTGTAAATAGTGAAGAAATTGCATCATGTGGTCCAGAGAGGGAGTTTCATTTTATTTGGTTGATTTTTCTATTTAGAGGGAGTAAAAGGGGAAGGAGGGAAATTTTCAAACTTTGTGTCTAGCTAAACATAATTTCACTTGGCCTTTCACAGAGTCTCTCCCTATCTTTCCAATGTAGCGTGGTTGATCAATAATATGTCTCTGTCAAAAGGGGCACTACCATGAGAGGAGGTACTGCTTTCCCCCATGTAGCTGAACACTCCTCTGCAGAGTTCCTCATTCTCACTCATCCAAAGACTCACAACTAAGCTTGGATTATTAGCCCAAACATCTTACATATTCAAGAGAATCTAACATGTTATTTGGAATAAATAAATAAATAAAGTGCTGTGCCTCCACCAGAAGCAATGTAACTATATATTAAATCATGTTACCACAATGCTCTGATTAGCTCAGAATAAAGGCAGGGCTTCAGTAATTCTTTTTAAAAAGAACAAATACTAGATGGAAATAGAGTGTACCACATGTATTTCTGTTTGTCCTACTGAATGTCACTAAGGGCATGACATTGAAGTCCTTTAGAAACGTAGCCAGAGTTAATTTTGTTGGATTTACCTATGTGTCTGCTGTCATACGAAGTTAAAAAGGAATTAATTAGTAACCAAAAAAGCCCTCAAGCCCCCCAAAACTGTAAACTCTTAGAATGTTAATAGGCCCATTATAGGACTCAAAAAAATAATTTGTTCCAAACAGCCTAAGCAGATTCGTATCAAGGTCAAGACATGATAAGAATATGCAGTTTTGGATATTAAAATCCATCAGAGAAAAAAACCCAGTTAAACAACCATTATCCTTCTCAAAATTCTTGCAAGTTGCATCATTCAAGTAACTTCACTGGAAAGCAGCATCTCCTCAAAGAAGAAATATGTTTTGTGATTGATTAAAAATCCCAAGTAAATAAAACACAAAGTTGTTCTTACTGCAAAAATTTAAGAGACTTGGAAAACTGACAGGTATAGCTGTAAAATTTGTGACAGCATCAAGAGATCAAGCAATCAAAGTAAAAAGTTAATACAAATTTCCAACAGCGTCTTTTTCTGTATAGCTCTCATCTCATCACTAAACACCAGCTACCCTTCAGTTCAATCAGTAATATTACACTTCTGGTTTTCTGCTAACTTCTGGGTTGAACTTCTCTCTTGTTCTGCAGGCAGACAGAAGCATTCTGGCAAGCTTTTACAGATACCTCAATGAGACAAGGAAACAACTCAATATTGAACATACGTGTACCAGAGCTTGGGGTGGCGGCTCATGGAATGATTCTTCCCATTTGCTGGTGAGTCTTTTGATGCTGATTTACTCAACAGGAACTCCTGAAGTTTCTGCTTCACTTCTGTACTGGCCACTGCCCCTAAGACACACAGCATTAAACATATCTTACCTTTACTTAAAAAACAAATTACATTTTTAAAGAAAACAAAAACCAAAACACAAAAAAATGCCCATCTCTTGCTGCTGTAAGTGTTGTACACTATAAAAATGTTGGTGGAAATTGGTCAAAATGAGATAACATTTGGATCAAATATTAGTCTGTAGAAATCTGAAGTTGGCCATAACCCAGAAATCCAGTGAAATCATAAGGAATATTTCAACAGCAGATGAGGCCATTTATTGATGGCCAGATATATCTAAGGAATTTAAATTATTTCCTAATAATTCCCAAATACAAAACCAAGGATAGAACTGAAAACATAGTGACAAAAGGTCACTTTGAGTTTGCAATAAAAAATATTTTGTTATTTTAGTAAAGGAACAGTAAAAGCACAGCAAAACTGCCCTCTGAATACTGTCCTGGTTATGAGCAGAATAGCACAGAAAGCAGTGAGCCGTTTTACTCAGGCCACTGAAGATCCTGTACCTGTGATGTCTGGGAGACAGACCACAGTCTGAAACATGAGTCTTAGCTGGTAACTCTACTCTTATGACACCAAATCAACAGAAAGACCAAAACACCAGGAAGACAGTGCATTTTGACCTCTCTTTGTGGCTAGCTCTGTACAAGAAGTACAGCATGTCAATGTCAGCTTACACTGCCAATTCCTACTTGCAGCATGGGACATGCTTTTTTACTCACAGCCATAACATTCTTCATAAAAAAAGCATGAAAAAGAAAAATCTCCATTTGGTGTTCCATAAACAGTGATTATTACTGTTTAAGGAAAAAGGAAAGAAAAAGCATTTATTTGAAAGCAGCAACACTAAGGCATACTGATACTCTAAGTATTTGGTTACCCAACCCTGACACAGCACAGCCACCTGGTGAGCGTATCCCCCTCTGACCCAGTTCCCATAAAGTATCTCTTCTACTCCTTAGCTTCAGACCCTAACTCCCCTCCCCACATCTTCCTTCCCTCCTCTATTCATTAACTAGATCAGCAGCAGCAGCAAATGCTGGGGCTGAGCCCAGGGGATCACAAGTGCTGCTTGGCTGGCTGCTACATACTGAATCCAGCAAGCAAAACTGAGAAGGGAACCATCGAGTTCACACTGCTGCTCTTCCTTTGGTGGGAGCACTAATACAGCCCAACCATTTCTATGGAGGGTTTCTAATGCAGCCTGTTTCTATTTTTTTTCATGCCACTTACAGGAACCTTTGGTTCCTGCAGTTTCTGCTACCATTCCACTGCTGGGTCAACAGGTTGGTGATGCTTTCATCGTTCACCGAAGTACTGGAAACACTATGGACAGCTTAATTTCTAAAGCCTACAATATGCTACACCTGCAACTGTTGCACTGATACACTAAAAAAAAAAAAAAAAAGGCAGGTGCATAACATACAGCTCTTTACTGCTTTGGTCTTTGTCAGGAAATTTTTCTGGCCATTTAGCAGGGCAAGCAAAAATATCTCCTCATGGCAGTTTCATTTTGAGTACCTTCACAATGTACTTCAACCTAATTCTTAAACTGACCTCACCAAGGAGAATTATTTGTATCTGTCTCCCTCTAGTGAGCACCTAATTCCAACTGTATCATCTGTATCTGTCATTTGCCTTAGAGCTATATATGAGCTAGAAATAACTCTTGGTTGGACCTCATGAAATAGCATAAAGAACACACATTTGTAAAAGTCCTGGCAAAAGTATTCAGAAGTCTCAGCCAAAGACAGTCTTAAATATTTCATTATATTTTCAATCTTGAAGCAACACTCAAATCACTTAGCAAGTAATGTGATTTTTTTGCTGGTTTGTAGGGCTTTCTGTATTGGGAAATAAGCTCTTCAGAAAGAATTTCTCAAGGGAAGCTTTAGGCTTTCAATTTCCCTCTTTTTTATATAAAAAGAGCTAGATTCTTGAAAGACATACACACAGATCTGTCAAAATGTGCTCTCCTACTTTCCTCCAAGCCTGCATACAAACCAGTGACATGTTTATGTGGCCAAACAGGTGGCTCTGCCTTTCCACAAGTACAGCCTAGTAGCAGATTTCACAGGGTAACAGGCTTGCTTCATGTTCCTGCTCATTGTCCATTTCAGCTGGGAGAAGGCAAAGGGGAATAGTTCAATTTCTTATAAGGATTCATGGTACATTGGCTCTTACTTTCTCGGCCTCTTTCTTTGCCTCGGAGGGGAGGAAGCTGCTGTTCCCTGCGATGCCTCTCCAGTTCCTGCTCTTGTCTCTGCTGCTCCAGTTTCTGCTCTTTTTCAAGGAGTTCTTGCTGCTGTTTAATGGCTAGGAGTTCCTGTTGTAACTTGCACAGAACAAAAATACATGAGAAAGTGCAGTTTGCATTGTTTTCTAGGTCAGTCCTGGCTAAAACAATCCCCTTGAATAACTAGTATCAGTGCTTGCTTTTGTGCTTAGACTTCATTTCTTAATCAACTTTCCCCAGTCTTCTAAACAGAATACTGCATTACTGGATGTCACTAAAATGAACTCTAATGTCAGGTAGCAGCCTGCTGCTCTGGTTTCACTTCATTCTCTTTTGGCATAAATGCCTGGAAACTGCACAGGGCTCTTTGCCAGTACATCATCCAACTCTGGCTGCTGTGCTCTGCTGCATTTGTCCATTCCATCGATTGGAAGCTTAGCACAGTAGCAAAATGGTAAGTAGATCAGAAGAAAAAAATTAAATGAAAGGCAAGATCTTAAATTCCTAGACAAAATCCATTATAGCAATCCTACCACAGTGCATGTAATCCCATAAATAATTTCCTTTTCACATTATATGAGGCAGCCCAGAGAAGAGTGAAAACACAACACTTTCAGGACCTGCCTCCATTTTACAAACGCGAATATTATGCACTTGCTTTTCAGGTTGATTTGTGGGCACAAACTCCAACAGCAGCCCAAAGAAGCAGTCTTTGAATATACTCAAAACTGCACATACAGAGAAGACAGCCATATTGAAGTCTGGCTGAAGATACAGCTTTGTAAAATAGATAGTTCGATTTTTCTGTGGATGCGGTGGCTGTATGAGCTTGGTCATTCTCACAGTACTGCCTTGGTCTGCTGTGAGCAACTTACTGGCAAATACAGAGGAATAAGCACTCAAACACCACGTCTCAGTCACAGAAAATCTTTCAGGCATGCTCCCTTTTCATGTTTGCCTAAGCAAATTCAGGCTGCAGATAAAATGAGGGATAATTGAAAAATGTTGCTACCTTTATGTGCTCCTGGAGCTGGGCCTGATGCTGGCGGGTCAGGTTCTCATGCTGCTTCTGAAACTCTGCAATCAGCAGTTGTTTCTGAATTTGCTGCTGCTGCTGGATCAGAAGGAGTTCCTGCTGTAGCTGCTTTTCACGCATAATTGGGTCCACCATGGGAACCATCATCCTGAGATCAGTTCGCAAGTCTAATGGTGAGATAGGCTCTAATCCCACAGGAACCTCTGACTTTACATCCACTGTGGGAGGAAAACAACAAAATGTACATATATTAAATAAAGCTGGAGATGGAGAATAGAGATCACTCCTATTGGGGAAAAGACCAATTTCACTCAAAAATTGCTTCAATGTATAGACCTAACAAAACACTAACACAACCTATGCTGCACGTAAATTTTAGACATTCCTACAAGCAACTGGAGATTTTAGAAGTTATTTTATTACTTTCTCTCTTTTCTCTGCAAAAATACTCCCAGATTAATATTCTACTAAATAGACTAACATGCAACTCAGTTCTAAAACCATGTCACAGCCTAACAGAGCAATACTTAGTGCAAATCTCCTAGGCACTACTAATGCTTAGCAATAAACACTCGAGGCAACTCTTCAGTGTAAGATGAAGGCCTTACAATTCTCACTGCATTGCAAGACATTTTCCAAAGCTAGTGAGTAGACTTCCTGAGTATGGTGCTACATATGAACAACTACCCAATGCTGCATAGCTGCATGTAAATATACCATGCACACACATAGGAATAAAGCACACAAAACTACAGAAAAATAATCAAACACGCCAAAATGAGAAGTTTTAATACAGCTTACCATGCTTGGAGTGGATAAGACATAATACATTATATATGGGTTGTAAGCAAATGAAACCATCTTTAATTATTCCAATTTGTTGCAGTAATGGTATATATTGTTAATCTAGCATTACAGTACTTAGTAAAGCATCCTGTGTTTTGCTATCTCCTTATTTAAATTAAAGGGACTAAAAAGCAGCAGAAGAGAGTTGATTATTTTCACTACAGTACTCTTAAATTTCAGGTTTTTACATGGAGTCAAGAGACTAGAGCGTACATTCATCTGTTTCAAGAGAGCAAAAAACTAGCAAGCAACATTTATACAAGAGGAAAGTAAATAGCAGGGGAGGGTCTCTGCTAAAGCTCAGCAGTTCTGATTCCATCCACAAGAGGACAGTGGAACCACAAACACATTCATTCCCGTTTCTACTGCTCCACTATCTTCATAGGAACACAATATTATTAACTGAAAACAAACATGCTGTCGGAAATCACTAGGGAAGATGATATTAAGCATATTTTCTTCTTTTCCTCTGCTACAGCTGTATTTGTTTTCGAAGAGAAAACCAAAATTAAACATAAATATTCAAAAAAGAGGGAGAAGTAAAATTGAAGCAGCAAAAGCTGAAACTGCAGTAACAGACAAAACGGAATTCTAACCATAGGATCGAAAAAAAAAAAAGTTTTGTAAAAAGTAGAGATGAGACACCAAGTCTCTTCTATTGATTGTATTCTTTTCGTCTCAAAATTCTTGAAACGTAGTTTTCTGAGTCTTTTTTTTTTTTTTTTTTTACCTAGTGATTGTACATCTCAAAGCATAATTTGCCTTTTTAACCCATTATTCCAACAGAATGATTTTGTCTAAGTGCTTACGTTTGTTCCGAGACTAATCACTAAATTATAAAAAATCACTTTTAACTTACAAAAACTGCTCCTGATTATAAATAATTGCTGCAGACCAAGAGAAATGGACAGGCAAAACCCCCCAGCCTTTCATCCCATTTATTCATCAGCAATCCACATTCCATTTGTCTAGACTAAATATAACCACGTTTATACAAGAAATCAATAGTGCTTGCAGAGAGCAGAGCAAAGGCATGAATATTTCATCAAACTCAGAGAGAAATGGCAATCAGCAAACTGACAGCAAACTGTGTAGGCTGACTGGCCCTCCAGATAAGTCTCCAGTACTTGGACAATGGCTCATTGCCTGCAAGTCACAATCTTATCATCAGTGCTCTTCTATTTTTAACATTAATTGCACTGTAGGTGACAAAGGCTTATCATGTTTAAAGTGGGGAGATGGATTTTCTTACATCTTCTGTGACAGGATAATAAGCCTTACTAGGAGCAATAATAGTAACTGGGGCTCAGCAAGCCCTGCAGGGTCTGGTTTGCTATAATGTTTGCAAACTGAATCCTGCAGGGTTTGGTTATCAATGGTGTTTGCAAACTGAACCCTGCAGTTTATTTTGCAGATGCTAGCTGCAAATCAATCCCTACAAGTCTGCACAGTGATTCAGACTGACTATAATTCCTACCTCTGGTAAGCATCCTCCTTCATTTTCAGAACACTTTTCTGTAACCATGAGGGAAGCCTCCAGATTTTTCTAACAATAGAAATCTCTTTCTGCCAATAGTAAAATGTACAAGTGAAATCGGGCTCTGTTTGATAGATTATACATTTTCAGGAATCTTCACACACTCAATAAATCTAGCAAAGGAATACCTAATTCATCAAGTTCAACTTTACTTCATTCACTAATGGGGGGAAAATAAATATGGAAATAGTCCTGGAGACTCAAGTCCATAGAAATCAATACATTACCTCTCGTGTCACTTAAATGCCAATGGTTCCTGACAAATAAAGACAAGTATTTATTTTAAGGTCCATTCTATGATTCTATAATTTCCTAGCATAAATATTGCTAGCAGTAAGGTTACCACCAATACTACTACTAACTGTTGACATAGAGGATACTAACTTTTCAGAGCGATTACTGTCTTAAAACTGGAAACCAGTCAACCTTATCAACTAATTTATGCTAAACAAGTTACTATAAAATAAAATTCAATGGTTTGCTACTGTCTGTTAGGCAGTCCATAGACCCTTCACATTCTCCTTACTTGTTACCAGCTGACAAGATAGAGACCATGCCCCCCACGGAGTCTTCATCAGTGTGAAAAATGTGTAATGGAGCAGAGAATCAGAATTAGTGACTTTGAGAGCTTTGACTTTTAGCTGAAGCATATTTCCTCCCCCATCTCAACACAATTTTACTCTCAAAAAAGCAAAGGTGATGCAGGGTATTTACTCTCACTGAGGCTTTAATGTTTCTTTCACACCCTCTACACAGGGATATATGCACTTTTCAGGTAGAAAAAGAATGTCCTGATCAGTGCCCTCAACTTGCAAACGAAAAGCAATGGGATGCAGGACTTCACCAACAGGCATTGTCAAGATATTAGTCAAAAAAGGAAAAGGATTGTTAATGAAAGAAAAAAATAATAAGAATTAATCAGCATTGACTCCACTTCTAGGAATCTTGTTTTGCAGGATTTTCAATATCACCAATGGAGTCATGTTGTAGCACGCACAATTTAGAGGGCAACCCTGCCCACACTCTCTCCATCGTGGTCTGGAACAGATCCTTCCCAACAGCTCTGCTGACTACAGAGCAAGCCTGAGATTCCTCTCTAAGGTTAAATAAAGGCAAACTCTCTAAGCTCATGTCAGCTGCCATGAATACAACAGTAGGCTGTAGAATATTAACTAAAAACGTTACTGAAAGCTCAGTGATGCCAGGAACTGTGCCAAAAATTTGAGCAGAAAAAGATTTAATTTTCAGCTAGAACACACTGCAAAAGCCACATGCATTAACTTTCCTATAAAAACTCAATTGTCTATCTTTAAACCTAACAACAAAAATAGTCTCAGAAGACCATCCATATCTGTTATACTCCATAGATTGCACTTCCCACAGTGCTTTTGACATTCTTTGGAGAGAAAATATGACACTTGCAAAACAGCATGCTTGTAGATGCTTGAAGCATTTGTAAAAAGAGGTAAAAGAGCTTGACTTAACCCTGAGGCTTTGCTGGAATCACTGAAAAACTTTTAACTCTTTTACTAAGAGGTGGCATTTTTGCTTCTCACAACTAGTTTCAATTTCTGGTGTATCAGAATACACAAATCTTCCAAATCACAAGTGCTACAGGAAAATATCAGAAAAAAGAACAGCTCACTTTCTTACTATCATGTCCCAAGAGGGGCAATTTTTTTTATTATTTTTTTTTTTTGTTGCCAGTTACCTTTCTTGGCAGACATGCCATCTTTAAAAACAAGAACTTAAATAAGATATGCTGCCACCAACTGAACAGTCTCCATTCCTTATCTGAGACACAATGAAGAATAATTCTAGTAGACTTGCTTACCAGAACATCTTGCCTAGTACATTTATGATTCTTACATTAGATGAACTGTGTTGAATTTGCTGGGATTACAGGGATTCAAGTTAAACTTTTCGCAAAGGAATTTCTTGATTACATGGTTGATCTGGAAAAGTAAAGAAGGTTGGAGAGAGGAACATGGCATGAAGCTGGGGAGGGTCCTTCTCTCACCTTCATCATCTAAGGCAACATTCTACTAGGGTAGCAGTTAAAGTTTATGAAGTGAGCAAGGAGGACTACAGAAGTTGAAATGCTAAACTAAAAGATGACAAGCTTCTCCAACTGGTAATTTCAGTATTAAGCAATATAAGCATATCCCTGAAAACACACTAAAACAAGTAAAATGTAGAAGAATCATTCTTCCAAGAAATGGCCACACATTACCCCAGATATCAACTCAGTGAAGTATTACAATGAACACAGAGAAAAGGAGAGCTGTTTATACTAGTGACACTCTTTTGAACTCTGTTCTACAAAACAGAGCCCATCTACAGTTATTAACTTGTGCAGTACTTTTCATAGTTTTCACATGCTTTTCATAAAATGAAAACAAACCAGAACAGTTTTGCACTTTTTAATGTAGAAGAAACTGCCTCTACTTGGCCTCTTCATTGAGAGAGAGAGAAAAAACTTCCCTTTGAAGGATTAGCTGTATCAGTCCATCTTAACATAGTCAGAACACTAAAGAATTTGCAGAAAACAGCTCTAAATCATGG